CCGGACTTAGCCAGCACTCGCATCACCTCCAGCATGGTCACGACCATGGAACCATCGTCGCCGGCTCCTGGACTCCCGGGCACCGAATCGTAGTGACTGTTGATCAGCAGGTAGTTCTCGTTGGTGGAGTTCCTTTCCGACAGCTTCACCACCACATTTTGGATGCCCTGGTACATGTTGACCATCTCCCAGTGCATGTATGCCCCGCTGGCTTGCTGCACATCTACCTCGATCTCAAGGAGATCGCTCATCTCGGCCTCAACCTTGGCCACCTCGGCGCGCAGGAACTCCACGGCGGTCTCCTCGTTGGCCATGCTGCCCACAACCCGCGGTCCAATCCGGGTCAATTCGATCAGGGTGTCCTCGGCCCGCTGGGCAATGAAGGAGCCCGGGTGACTGGCCTCATCGCTGCGCGTCAGTGGCTGGGGCATGTGGTTCATCTGGGTGTTGACCAGCGAGAGGTAGAGCACCAGCCAGAAGCCGAAGAAGGCGGGGGCGTAGTACCATTGCAGCTTCTTGGGCACCTCGAAGTCCACATCGATGTGATACTTGGAGTTGAACTGTTTGAAGTAAAAAAAGATTTTGAGTTCCCTTTTGTTTTATAAGGTGTGTTTAAAAAATATTTGTAATGGGATAACCACACTATAGATATTACTACTATATATTACATAATCAGTGGTTTTGGTGCAGGGCTAAGCTCATTAAAATATGGCTTAAAACCTCTTTGTATCTATGCTTATCTGCATTTGTATTATTCATTCCTAACGCGTGAAAAATATAACGGCACTCAATATTTTGATGTAAGATTTCTTTGACCGTTACTTAAAAGGCACAGAAAACCATATTTTCGTTTCACATTTTGAGTAAAACAAATGTTATAGACGTTTAAGTAGTCCTGTTCACCTATGTTATATTTACTAGGCATGTAGTAAACAAGCTTTTCAAAATGTAAATAACATATTTGCATTACAATATTTTACATGAATTTCTACTGTTTAAAATAGCGAAAAGAAGACACACCCGACAAAAGGATGCAATTTATCGAACTTATTAATTAAGAACACAACAATTTAGTGTTTTAAAGTAAAAACTAAAGCTCGAATAAGACTTTACCTTTTAAGAAGTCTAATTTTGATGTCCCTACATTGCAATGGCTATATTTTGGTCCTCTAAAAAATGAAATGTCCTATGAATTCAGGTTAGGCCAAGGTTTTTGGGGTTTTAAAATTTCCACAGAAAACGCTTTGAAGAACATCCTAGATTGAATGAAAGCAATTATAGCTTGGCTTTATGGCCAAAAAATATCTAATCTTGATCTGGCAGCTAGATGTCTAACTGAACACAAAAATTTCCGGCCAATAGCTTTTATCAAAAGTTTTCGCGGAATTAACTTCTGGTCTGAAACAATCCGTAAACGTCTATGCAAACCGAACTAAGTGTCGATACTGACTTATGTATAGCTGCCGACATCCGGGGAGAATCCCCGAGGATATCAGGTGGAACATAAATTTTTACTGCTTGGCAATCCATCTCAATTGATAAGAGTGTTCACAGGCACGGTTCCTTAATTTTCCTTGATTTTCTGAGTAAACAATGACCGACATTGAAATCGTGTTTCGTCGCGTGTTCACTTCATGATTCACGGGCGTCTGGTCATCGGGAGATTGTCGAGGAGTATAAAGCCTCTGAAGTTGCTGTCATAAACCGATAACGTCTTAATAAAAAAGTAACAGCACCGTTTATCGCTCGGACATGCTAAGAAATTGGCAATTTTTGTTATATTGCGGCTTCTTTGAAGTGTTTCTTACTTAATCGTTTTTCCCTATCTATATGACTTTTTATTTTTAACCGTGTAATTTTTGCTGACTTTTCATGACCGCACGTTGTACATTGGCCACAAATTTTACTCGTGTCCTGGCATCCTTTTTGAAATTGCACAAATATAGACTTCTACTCGAGTCCTGGCATCTAAGATGTTGGTTCGATAAGATTGCACAAACATATACTTTACGGAGTTGCTCTTTCGCATGATTTTTTTTTTATCAACAGAAGTAAAAAGATTATTTTAATTTATATTAAATATTGCATTTTGTTTAATTCATTAATTTAAATTTTTTAATTCTTTTTCACTTTTTTTCACCGACTTTCACAATTTGTAAGAATAATAATATTTTTTTTAAACTTAGAACACTTGATATACGTACACTCATAATGTGTGGTGTTTGATTTTTACACTGGTATCCGGTAATCACAAGTGATATATCCTTTAAAGGACTCAACAACTGTAAGGACTTTACCAAACACTGCCGGACCGCTCCGGTTTTTGAATCATTAAAATCGGGCCGCAACCGGGGACCTCAACCTTCGAGTTCCAATTGAGGTACCAGTCGCTCTGGTTCCCTAAAGATATATAAGGCCCAGCGGCATTGAAGGTCTGGGGAATTTGCCAACGAGGGGAAATTATCGCTAGTATCGGCGACTCTGTGATATCGGAGCAGCTGTACGATAAACAAACACTATTATAACACTTTCGGGTTAAAATGGGTGGGGATTTTGTTAGGTTTCTTGTTTTCACGTTCAATGCGCTGGGGGCACTAGCAATCGCCAACCGAGTTTTATTTTTATGGCGTGGAGAATGTCCAGTTGTATCGTAAAGGGAACGGGAACCTCGATATGGCCTGCAATTCTTAAGATACACGGTTCGGCGGCACTTGCGAATTGGAAGTTTGGAACCATATATTCCAACGTCGTTACTTTAGATATGCCCATAAAGTTTTGCAAAAATGCAATATGGTATAGTACAATCCCGAGATGCTTCTCTGAGCTAGCGTTACCTCCGACTGACTGGCATTAGCTTCCAGAGACTGGGTACACCCAGTTACCCAAAGACCCCATGCCAATCCGAGTTCCAGCCCCACTTGTTTCGCCTTTTTACAGAGTTTACTAATTAATTTCAGCCCGGCAGTTGTACGAATGTCGCTGATTTCATTCCATTTTCGTTTATGTGTCATTCCACCTTTGTCTGCCCTGCCATCTGTCTCGTTTCCTCTCGTAGTCCCAGGTCCTCCTGGGGGTTTTGGGTTCCGCTGATTTCGCTTGATTAACAGATTGTTTACGTAATTGAATTGCTTTCGCATGTATTTCAGATTCACCTGTCTATTGAATTGTCGCTGTAGGTTGTTCCGCCCGAGTGGATTCGATAGCTGGGAAACTGGCGGGCGGCTATCAAATTATGTCAACCGTTTTCTCGCTCGACTGAACGAAACATAGAGCTACCTATCTGGCAGTTTCAGATGTATCCAAACACCTACGAATTCCTCGGAGAAACTTTGTAATTTCACTTGAACAACAATTTGAAACTTGTAATTAACCAAATAATCGCTGTTTTCTTAAAGAGATAAATTGTGTATCAATTGTCTACCATTATCATGGTAGTGCCTGAAATTTGGGTGAAAGTATCAGCTTTATTGATTTCGTTTCCCCAAATAGTAACAGTTTTGCCCAAGTACAATTGAAAAGTATTAGTTTTACAGTCATCTGCAAGAACACGTGCTTATTAGTTTAATCATTATTGCTTACTAGTTTTATGATGGGGGCAATTTTTAAGTAGTAATTACCCAATCAAGCGCTGTCTTTTGAAAAAGTCATAAAAATAGTTTATAAAGCTGATACAAATTTCAGTGGTTGTCATGCCACTTATCAAACAGAAAATACCTTTATTAGTTTGTAAGGTGTAATTCACAATTGATTGGATTACATTATAAGCAATCTTATCCATAAACAAATTTAATAAACAAAAAGTTCTTAGATTCCAACAGCTAATGCATAAATATACAAATATCTAACATTTCTAAGCTGCAATATCTTGTAAATGTATATAGTTTATATGACTTGCAAACCATTCTTATTAGTTGTTAATGAGAATCAGAACTTATCTTTTAGATTTCAAACTGTTTAAATAGAGTGCAGTTAAAAATAGTTTGGTGAGCTTGCTATTGTTTTTAGTACAAGCTACTAAACTGGAAGAACAGAAAAACCTAATTACCAGTATAATTCTGCAATTTTAGATTATTTTGTCACCTGTTTTTAAAATTCTTGGTATTTGTCAAGTTGTTGCTTTTGTGTAGTTCCCCATTTGCTTAGATTACATCGACGCGATTCTTATTCATGGGGAAAATATAAATAAATTTGGAAACAAACACTACCAATTTTTTGCCGACTAAGGGGGAATTCGCCTCAAGTGTCGTTTGTCTGGCAAATCCTTATCTGTCAAGCACTGTCACTTGTCGCAACTCAAATTGAGTTCAAAGAAATACATGAAATCACAGTAAGCTGATAGTAATACCCACTAATCGTCTGCACTTAATCTTGATTACTGGCAATTACGGATGTAATCGCAATGCGAAACAGGCGATGGTTCTCCTGCCCTGCCCCCAAATAGGCAGTTGTACCTGTCAAATTACGTGATTAGGTGTCCGCCATTGATAACTCGATACTTGTGATAAGCCTCCGGCTCTTGAGCTGGAGTACCGAAATCCGCAAATAAATCCCAATCGTATAAAATTGCCAGTGGCATTGTCCGGCGTTTCAGTTGGCCTCCGTCCGGCAAGCGGTTACATTACGGTAGTACGGATACCAGGAGATTTCGATTTCGTTAATAAAGATTTGGATTATACTCAACAAAGAGCATCGAAGTGGGAGTTTCTCTGACGTTTGGTGACCCTAATCTGCTGCTGGAGAAAGAGAGACTTTACGGATAACGGAAGATTTCGATTTCGTTACCGAAGATTTGGATTATTTTGACCAGTCCATCAGGCCACACACGTGAGTGGGAGCGGGTACGACAAGTGAGCGAGGAAGGTGGGGTGGGAAGAATCGAAGAGAGAGTAGAGTAGAGAAGCCTGCGCTCTCTCTGCCGCTTGGTGACCCCAATCTCCTGCCGGGAAAAAAGAGAGGGCCAGAGAGTTCTGTCGCCAAGCGTGCAGCGCAGCGCAGCAGCCGCAGACGACCGCCGACCGTCGAAGGGGACAGTTGTTCTCCCCGCCTCCAATCAGCTGATCCTCATCGGCAGCCAACCGACCGCCTTTCCAATTGGACTCGCGATCGCCTCGCCCACCACTTAGATTCAGTTTATTTTCGGTCATATGTGCTAATAATCCCGCGAGTGCCAACTAATTGTGCCGGTGGTTTCGTAGTGCAAGTGATCGTCTTCCCGAAGGCGGAAGATTCTTTCTGCAGGCCGAAGGTAACAAAAACAGTTGCCAGGCTTCTTCTCTCTTTCTCCTTCTTTCGGGGGCTTTCTTTCAACAAACAACCGCAAGTGCAGCCGCAACTTCCTTTCTTCAGCAGGTTATTGACTCAAGCCCTTGCAGCGTGTCGCGTTTTATGTGTGTATTTATGTTTGAATGCCGTCTGCATCTGCATTTGTATCTGTATCTTTTTCAGTGCTGGTGATTGTTTTTGTCCCAACTTCTTTTTTCCCGATGCGTCTGCCTGAGTTTAGTCCAAACAAATGCGGTTCTTGTCGCGAGCTGATGTTGTTCTTATACCTCAGAAAAGGAGATTGAGAAGGAGTATATAGGACGGAAAGAAAAAGTAGTCCTATGCCATAAAAAAGCATTGTTTTATAAAAAACTAAAGCCTAAACATTGAGGTTTTCTTATGTTACTGTTAAAACATCGCGATTTGGAACAGATCAAATTATATCTTCCACAAAAGGACTATACATACATATAAAAATCAAGATCAGAAAAAGTTAGGTAATAAAGAATGGCTCTGAAATCTTCCTGAAAAGGACTATAAAAAAGCTAAGATCAGAAAAAGTTACTTAATAAAGAATGGCTCTGAAATCTTTTTAATACGGTAATTTTTTACATCTTTTCCTATCCGTTAAGTTAAATTTAAATTAAAACTTGAATTTGCTTTTACCCGTTATTTAATTCTGATAATGAAAATACGCGTCTGTAAAGTTTCTCTTTTCTCTTAGCTTTGTTTTTATAAGAAATTCCAAAGGGTATCTAACAGTCTGCAGCTTTCTTCTTATTTGTTTGTCGCTTTTACCGGCCTTTCTTTCCCGCTGTTGTCACAGTTGATTGCCGACGCCTCTGCAAGCCAAAGATTTGTTTTGGATTTTCCCATTCCTCCAATCCCCCTCATTCAAATTGTCTTTAAATAGTTCTTTCTTTCATTTCTTCCCCCTATATTTTCTTTTTTTTTTGATATTAAGTAGGCGTGGTTCCCGCACAGAGCGTTCCATTTGTTTGTTTTTGTGGAAAGTGATTAGTTCAATCGAGAGGCGCTTCGGAGGAGTGAAGAGCCCATGAGGAGATTACTTTTGCACATCCCATTTGTTTTTACCAGCTACACATTTAATCGCCGAGAAGTTGCCTTCAGGCTCTTCTTCTTGCCGCCGGCGCGGGTCACCTAGAAGTCAGTGGAAAATGGGTCGATGTCGCACTGTAATCCAAATGGTATTTTGCATTCAGTCGCGGAAAACAGAGAAAATAAAAACATTTCGCTTAATTGCCTCAGTAGCCAGTACTTTTTCAGCCCACCCCCACCCAATGTTCCTATTCGTTTTTAGGACACACTTGCCGTCAGTTTTTATTTCAGTGGCCATTCATCTCAAAAAGTGCAATATTTGAACAGTTTAGTGGGCTACTTAAAATGAAGATCACTGTTTAAAATTAGATATATTAAATTATCTGAGTCACTGAGAATTAGTCCCCTTTGATGATCTAATAATTTTTTTTTTAAAGAAAAGTCAATTTCATTTTAAAAAAGTAAAAAACCTATTACAATAGAAAACTAAGAAAACACAATTTTTGATTAAACCGATGAAAATATAGTGTATTATTTCCGCTGTACAAGCAAATAAACAGACTTTTGTTATTAAATATTTCCCACACACAAAACTCAGCCGCATCACATGTGTGAACATTAAACGATAATATATGTATTATAGCCCAGTTGGCTATAAATAAGAATGAAATACCGCTCAAAAAATTACAAAATGTGTCTCATTCAATGTTGATTTGTTCCGAATGCCGATGTTATATTTGCTCAATTTGTTAGATCCCCAAATGTCGAATTGTTTATTTTTTAGAGCTGCATTGGTTCAATGTCGTTGGCTAATTTTCCTCTGTCGGTACTTTTCTTTTCAACGGCAAGCTATTATTTCTGTTTTTTTGTGCCGAATGGTCAACATATGTTTTCCGGTCTGCAATTTAGTTTAGATTTTATATAGCCTTAAAAAAATGCTGGACTAGAAAATGGAAAAAGTTTTCCTTGCTAAACGTATGCCCGCACATCTATGTATTTTTTTCATCGAAATTTTGGGTACTTAAGATTTTTTGTGGCCTACTTCATTTCCTGCCCACTTGACACTTCTTAGACCTGACAAGTGTTATCTCTGGCAGATGCTTTGAATAATCACTGCTTGGGTTGATAGTGGGGATACGGGCCAGAAACTCATTCATGTTTTGGGGCTTGTGTTCATGGTTATCAGCATATTTCCCGATTGAAATCAATGGTGCTCTGAACGGGAGGAATCAGCTTGCGGTGACAGTTTTAAGTTGATCGCACTCGCTTATCACTACCAGTAATTATTTAATCGATGCTCGAGTGCTCAAGTGGCTACATTAACTTAACCCCTTCCAAATGGGCAGAGAAAGAGGACCGATTAGTCGCGATGACGCGATATATACAGAAACATATCAAGAGAGCTTTATCAGTGGAATGCGTCACAATTGGAATTCGACAATTGAACTTAATTAGTAGTGCAATGACACTGACTCTGACACTGATACCCCTATACTTTTTGGTGACCAATAAAGTGAATTCGTTAATCCCTTCCAGGCCACAATGAAATCGAAGTACGAGAACATGAAGATCATCTACAACCGTAGCAAGATCGGGTGGTATTGGGCTCCCCTGTTTGTGTCCTGCTGGTTCCTGCTTTTCTACCTGGTGGTTATACCAAGTTTCCACCGCATGCCGCAACTGAAAACCATCGAGGATGAGCGCCAGCAGCCGGGTCAATTCATAGGGGAGCGAGCGGAGAACACCCTCTTGAGGCTCTCGAAGATCGGACCCAAGGTCGTGGGCAGTGCTGCCAACGAACAGGTGGCCGTTCAGTTCCTGCTCAGCGAAATTAACGACATCATTGACGGGGCGAAATTAGACCTCTACGATATCGAAAGGGACGTTCAGGTCGCCTCCGGGAACTATCTCCTCTGGTCCATGGTCAATGTCTATCAGACCATTCAGAATGTGGTGGTGAAGCTTTCGCCCAAGAATGCCACCAGCGAGGCTGCTCTTTTGATAAACACCCACTTCGATTCCGTTCCGGGAAGCTCGGGAGCCGGAGATGCTGGCATGATGTGTGTCATTATGCTGGAAGTGCTGCGGGTAATCACAAAGTACGAGACTCCACTAACCTACTCGGTGGTGTTCCTCTTCAACGGAGCCGAGGAGAGTCCCCTGCAGGGCAGCCACGCCTTCATCACCCAACATCCTTGGGCCCAAAACGTTAAGTAAGTGGAGAATTTTATCAGGTCCTTTAAGAAGAATTATCAAACTTATTTAAAACTGAAAACATTACTATTTTCCAGAGCGGTCATTAACTTGGACTCAGCTGGCAGCGGAGGACGGGAAATTCTATTCCAATCCGGTCCCGATCATCCTTGGCTGATGAAGGTAGATCTCTCATTTTAGTAGATATTTTTTATTGTTAGTCATCCCCTTTATATCTTTATAGTACTACGGCAAGAACATAGTTCACCCTTTTGCCTCCACTATCGGAGAGGAATTGTTCCAGAATGGCTTTGTTCCGTCAGAGACCGATTATCGCGTGTTCCGGGACTTTGGCCATATACCCGGTAATATAAAGTTAATTACGAAATTACCTAATCTCTAATACTTATGTTCTTGCAGGTCTCGATATGGCGCAGACTTTGAATGGCTATGTGTACCATACCAAATATGATCGGTTTAATATCATCCCGCGACGCACTTACCAACTGACTGGCGAAAATATTTTGGCTCTGGTCAAGGCTCTGGCGAATGCTGAAGAACTGGAGAACCCAACGGTAGGTTCTTCGAAAGTATTTTAGAAATGTTTATATTTTAATGAGGATTGTTCTCCTTATAGAAATACGCCGAGGGTCATATGATATTCTTCGACATGATGGGCTGGTTCTTTGTCTATTACCCGGAGAGCACTGGTGTCATCATCAACATATCCGTGTGTGTCCTGGTGTGCATCACCATCGTGGGTTATATCTGGATCATGTCCAGTAGTACGGGCATGTTCCGTCGACGCATCTGGGCAAAGTTCGGCATTCTGACCGCTCTCCAGGTGGCGGGTGTTGCCCTGGGCATTGCCCTGGTCATGTCCATAGCCTTGTTCCTGGACGCAGTGAATCTCTCCATGTCCTGGTTCTCGCAGAACTGGATGCTTTTTGGTCTTTACTTCTGCCCCATGATATTCGGCATGGGCATAGTGCCGGCTATTTACTTTAGTCGCACCAAAGAGGTTGGTTTAGATAAGGCTTGCTATTTAACTGATATCTAATTTCCTTATTATTTCTCTACAGCATGGTTTGCCTTTGGGCTATGGAATTCAGCTATTGATGCACTCGCATTGTCTGATCTTGACTGTTGTCACCGCCATAATGGTGAGCTACAGTATCCGATCTGCCTTCATCATCATGCTCTGCATTGGCTTCTACACACTATCCGTGCTGATCAACATGGTCACTAAGGCCCACAAAACAAGTGAGCTTAACCACAAGATTTACTTCTTTACTTAACTATAACACTATTTTATTGTATTTTATAGATTTCCTGTGGCTTATACCGCACTGCATTTGCCAGGTGCTGCCCTTCATGTTCTACACGTATTGCTGCTATGCCTTCTATGTGGTTTTTGTGCCCATGCAGGGACGCGAGTGTAATACCAATCCGGAGATTCTGATGGGTTTCTTTACGGCACTAATGGTCCTGCTGTTTGCGCCCTTCCTAGTGCCTTTGTTCTGTCTGTTCCGCAAGTCCAAAACGATTATCTCAATTTTTGGTATCTGCACGATAGTATTTATTATATTTGCCGCAACACCCATTGCCTTTCCTTATGCCGAGAAGACGGCAGCCCAAAGATTCTTCGCTGTGGTAGGTCCCAAATTTGGGGTTTTAACTTATATGCCTTCATTAATATTTCCCTTTACAGCACACAGCCCGAACCTTTCACAATGGTGATGCTGCAAGCTCGGTTAGCCACTCGGATTCGGGATACTTTGTTCTTCCGGTCGATCGACGTCCCCACACCGTGGATGATATTCTCTTTGAAAACACTAACTTTACTAAGGCGGAACGTATGGACTGTGATTCGGAGCTTATGTGCGGCTTTCCCATTTACAGCTCTCGCTGGCTGAATGCAGTGTAAGTTGGATAAACAATAGTAATCTTACTTTTACTTACATTTTATTTCCTCACAGTGACAATAGCTACTTTGTACCTGGACCCCAGCCCAATATGCAATATATTCCTACTTTAACCATATTGGATAAAACAAGTAATTCGGATACGAATATTAAATTCGATCTTGAAATCTCTGGACCAAGTCACACAAGCATATTCATACTACCCTTAAACGATACCAAATTAGTGGATTGGTCGTTCATAAGAGAGCCGATAGATACAAATGTACCGCCGCCTTACTATGTGTACTGGTCGTATGCATTGGATTCCAAGCCCCTGCAGTTTTCACTGGAATTCGAGGTAATAATTTCACTAAGATCTAATACCCTAGAAACACTTATTAATTTGATATTTTTTTGTAGCACGATGATCCTAATTGGTCAGGGGGGACTTTTAAAATAGCCCTAATGGGTCACCGAATACACGACGACATGTATATTACGCAAGACTTCAGGGACTTCCTGGCCACGTTTCCACCTTGGGCGCACGTTAGCTCCTGGCTTGGATCCTATAACAGTTGGCAACTTTAAACATAGACCCAAAGTTCTTTCACGAACTCAACTCAATCCCATGTTTGCCATGACACCTCAGCTACTTTTAACTTTGGTACTACTGATCAATTAACTAATGTACCAGTAACCCTAATGCAACGAACAAAGTGTCGATACTCATGGCACACCCCATCATGTATTTACCATTAGAACACTGTAGTTACTACTTTGTAATTTTATTAAAATATACTATAAATTATTTATTGAGATAATCCAACATGGGAGTCTATATTCTCATCGCTGCCTATACGATCCAGCTCTCAAGGGCCGAGAACCAGTCGGTGGTGTAGGTCCAGTCTGGGAAAGTTGCAAGGAACTGCTTAAAGTCCTCGGTGTAGTGCTCCGGGTGGTATTGGAAGTGCTCGGAAACCACCAGTTTCATGTAGGGTCCCTCTGTGTTGCTCTCCTCGTGCTCGAGTTCCACCCAAAAGTTGAGCGGCTCCTCGGTCTGGGAGTAGATGGCATAGATCAGATAGGGAGGTATGTGATTCTCCTCCAGCGGTGTATGGTCAAAGGACCAGTCGGTGACCTTGACATTATCGAGCGGATCTATGTACATCATGACGCGATCACTGGCCCTCAGATTGTACTCATAGCGCACCTTATTGCCGGCCAGAGATTGCTTTGATAGCTGGGTTAGATTTATGCTCAGAGGGATAACTGGTGGCGTACTGTAGATCCAACGAGCTGAATTTCTGTGATGAGAATTTAAGGTTAACTTCTAAATAAGTTTGGCGTAATAAACCCAACTCACTTCCAATCTATCCAGCGACCACTGTACAAAGGCAGACCACAGAAAGGCTCGGCGGCACAAGTGGAAGCTGTCCAACTCTCCGGTTCCGCGTTCTTGAAAGTGGTGTCATCCAGTTCATGGAGACGCGTATCCACAGGCTGAATATAATAGCCAGAGTCCTGTATGTTGGTACCATCCAAATTGTGGAAGGTTCGTTGGGTGTGCTAAATAGATTTGTGAATTAAAAGATTATCTTCCTAAATATATTGTTAAGGTGTTAAACTTACCAACACATAATAACGCTGTGGAGCCACTTCTTTCACAAATGGAAAACCAGCGGATGTACATGCCATGATAATGAATATGATTGTAATCAAACCAAACGAAGAGAATACGGTCTTGGGCTTGCGGAATTTGTGCATAATGGGAATCTACAAAGGAAACGTCTTAGATTTCATATACTTTAAGTGTTTCTTGAGTAAACTTACCACAAAACCAACATAGTTTATTGATGTTGCAATGATAAAGACAGAGACCATTAAATCAGGACTGCTCTCCGGTCCATCACGACCCTCCATGGGAATGAAGGTCAGAAGAGTTGCATAGCAGATATAGTTGTAGAAGAAGAAAGGTAGAACCTGGCACAACAGGTGAACCGTAACAAAGTAGCTCTCTGTGAAGAAAGTAAACCTTTATAGAACCAAAAACCCACTAAAGTTGATATCAAATAACATACTCTTTATCGTGAGCTTTAGGATGATTTGCAGCAGGACGGAAATGGCGTAGAAGAAAACCCCGACCATGGGGAAGTAGCTGGAGCGAATACCCATGCCGGTCATGATGATGCAGAGCAAAGCCAGCAGGATGCACTGGGCGTGCATGAAGCAGGCGATGGTCTGATCCAATTTCATGTTGGTCTTCCTCTTCGTTAATCCAATATAAATCGCAGGGAGTATGCCAAACACGAAGAACAAGGTGCAGAAGTACAGGCCAAAGGCCATCCATTTTCCATAGTACCAGGACTCGGCTAATCCCACGCCTTGCATGAAAACGGCCACCAGGAGGGTTAAGCCACAAGCAACGAATAAAGTTCCCGCTTGGACTAGGAAGATGATGCCGAATCGCATTAGAACCGCCTTGGGAGCATCAGAACCATTGTCCAGTGTCATGATGTACACCGAGGTGCCAATGCAAACAAAGGCCGCCACAGAGACCGTAATATTAATGGCCATACTAGTGGTTTCAGTGTAGGTCATCATGAACCAGCCCATGAAGTCGTAGTACACAGTGTGCCCCTTCTCATGGGCGGCGGTGTCATCCAACTCGGGGGCATTGGCCAGGGCCCAAATCAAGGGCAGTACGTTCTCACCGGTCGACTGATATGTGCCACGTTCCACATTTCGGAAGTTATCGAACTTGGTGTGGTAGACATATCCATTCATCACGCTGGCCATATCCAGACCGGGAACTCCTCCGTAATCACGGAAAACTCGAAAATCGGTGTCCGAGGGTATAAAGTTATGCTGGAACAGCTCCTCGGCCAGGGTCTGGGCATATGGGTGTGGCACACTAGCCTGATAGTATTTGGCCAGCCATGGGTGATTCGGACCCGTCTGGAAGAGCACCTCACGTCCACCGGCGCCAGTGGAGTCCAAGTTCACCAAAGCTCTGAGTTTAATAAACAGAAAATAAGGGTAAGTTAATCGTGATTGGAGGGTTTTTTACTGTCTTTATAAAACTATTCTTCTTAGTAGTATTTCCTTATAATCAGAAATAATTTGTTATTGATTGTTGAAATATAGTTTAAATCAATAGGTACAATGGAATGGTTTTTCTGGGGTTTTTATACTTTAACGGCTTTTTAATTATGTTCCCAAAAAAACAAATATGATGGTGATTGGTTAAAAGAATATAGTTTAAGTAAATAATGCTATAATTCCTGACTATTTGCATTCCACTTACTTGCAGTTCTTGGCCCATTTGTGCTGTGTAATAAATCCATGTGAACCAAGCATGCAGGCCTCTTCGGCTCCGTTGAACAGAAAGACTACAGGATGTATGAGCGGTTTCTCGGAGAGCGAGATAACGCGCAGGGTTTCCAGCATAACCACCACCATGACGCCATCATCTCCAGCAGCTGGGGTTTGGATCTCCGAATCATAGTGGGAGTTCACCAGCAAATAATTCTCATTGCTCGAACTCTTCTGGGATATCTTGACCACCACATTCGAGAGATTGGTGTAGGTAATGGTCATGCCCCACAGGTGGAAGCCGCCAGAGGAGTACTGCGTGTCCACCTCAATATCGTACAGATCCGTGCGCGCCTCGTCCTTGATCTTCTGGATCTCTCGCAGCAGGAAATTGACCGTGTGCACCTCGTTGTTGATCGAGCCACTCATTTTGTTGCCAATCGCCGAGTACTCGGCCAACTGGTGCATCGCCCGCTCGCCGATGAACTCGTCCGGATGCAGTGCCTCCTCGCTCTGGTACAGCATCGTTGGATAGCTGTGGAAACTGGGCAGTACGGCGGCATAGAAGAGGGCGAAGGCGGCAGCCGCGTAAATGGGAGCTCCAAACCAAGGCCACTTCTTGTCCCTGGACTTGCCGCCATCCTTTTCCGCTGTAATGTCGAGGATTGAGAAGGACATCTGGAAAATTTTTTTTTAGGTACAAGGCGTAGAATAATATAAATCTTATCTTGAAGTAAATGGTTCTAAACAAATTGAAGAATCGTTGTGCTTTTTAATGACTAACAAAACATGTTGCATGCTTTTAGGCATCTTATAACTATATTTTACGACAAGCAAAAACACCTCTTGACGAGGTAAAAACTAGTGACGATTGCACCTTGAAAATACAAAAGTTATGATATCAACTTTGTGACAAAATGTATTATACGATCTGCAACACAATGTGCATGTGTAGGCAATTAGCTGTACGATTTTGATGAAGAGTACGGAATGAGAAACATAAGAACAACTAGGCTAATAAACTGGGGCATTTATCCTCACCGACCCCAACAGCTCTAACTTTTTAAAATTGCACTTTTCTCCGCTCTTTATCCAAAACCAATTTTCTTAAAGTCCTGGTATGCAATCCTTTTTTATTTTTCGATTGGTGTATCACTTGTTATAATCGGATCACTACTGCAGATTTTTAATTCTGTGGATATATACAGTAGTCGCCTTCACACACTGTCCTGGTACGCTTCGTCACTACGTGACGTCCTCAGTGATATTCACATATTGCACTTACTTCCACTAAAGATCTGAGATCAGGGATTTGTTATAAATATCTCATATGATAAACATGTTTATTTGGAAAAGTAGTTATTAAAGCGAATTGAAGACACACAATTTCCATCATAATCATTAATTTCCATATGTATTAAGTTATAAAAGAAATAACTTTTTATCCTCAGTTTTTCACGTTTCTGTTAAAAATTGTCTTGTATAAAACCATTGTTGGATTAAATTTTAAATTAATTACGATTTTATGAAAAAAAATGGTTAGAAATTAAGTACTGAATGTTAAATAAGCATTTCACATATAAACGGAAGTCTTGGAAACAGAATAAAGATAAGCAAGCTTCGTTGGAGAGTGTAGAAAGGTCATAAAGCAATTAGCACCCTAAAGAGCACTTAGCTTTATGACCTTAGCGGTTTCAAAGGCAACATGAACTTGGTATAAAAACAGCAATCGATAACAAAGCTGGGTCTCATTTTATGGCCGATATAAAGTTCCTTATCGCCTATGGATACTCGATGAAAGCGAAGGAAACAAGGGTATTTTTGTTAAAAACTAAATATCACTTGATTTGAATTCCTTCATTGAGACGCAAGCTTATCGCCCGACGTGCCTTTCACTTTTTCGACAGCTAGCCTTATATTCAAAATGAACGGACAACAATCGCGGCACTACCACTCTGAGGACACTCTGAGATCTTAATCAACATAAACACGGTGAATTATGGTCCGTCACTAACCTTCAGATCGAACGCGACTCGGACCTGAATCAAAAACGAAGAAATACAACCGCACCAAAGCCCTGCCGTTGGGCGACTAAGACGCTTCGAGCCAGTTCCCAAGAATTAAGTAGGGCCAGGCTCGGCCCCATGGATCGCTTATCGCCCCCATGGCAGCGATAATAATTGAATATTATGATTATAATCGTTGATTCCGGCGCATAAAACGATTACATCCTGCGATAGGCGATACCAGAAGCTGTTTCTCTTTTTAACGTTTTATAGGCCAGTTGTTAACGCGATTAGGACGCCTTTTCGGCAGAGATCTTTCGGTGGGGTCCAAAATCTAAAAAAATCTACATAAAGTATAATTAAGATAACTTTACGGCAGTAATTTGGGGAATTTTACCATCTTATCTTTTGACTCTTTTAATTGTAAGGGTAGATCCGACTGAACATACATCAAATAGTCGGTAAATTTTTAGATATTAAGACAAGAAGCGTGATGATCTAAA